AAGGAATTGGATGAACAGTTGCACTCAAAAAACTGTGGTCGACGGCACAATGTCCAAGTGGAGAGCAGTGACGAGTGGCGTTCCTCAGGGTTCAGGGTTGGGTCTGGTGCTGTTTAACATCTTTGTTGGTGACGTGGGCAGTGGGATCGATGCACCCTCAGCGAGTTCACCGATGACACCGAGCTGTGTGGGGTGGTGACATGCTGGAGGGAAGGGATGCCATCCAGAGGGACCTGGGCAGGCTTGAGCCTGTGCAAACCTCATGAAGTTCAACAAGGCTAAGTGCAAGGTCCCGCTCATGGGTCAGGGCAATCCCAAGCACAAACACAGGCTTGGCAAGGGATGGATTGAGAGCAGCCCTGAGAAGGAGTTGGAGGTGTTGGTGGATGGAAAACTGCCCATGAGCCAGCACCATGCGCTGGCAGCCCAGAACCCACCCGTGCCCCTGGCTGCAGCCAGAGCAGGGGGGGCAGCAGGGCCAGGGAGGGGATTGTCCCCCTCTGCTCCGCTCTGGGGAGCCCCCCCTGCAGTGCTGGGGCCAGCTCGGGGGCCCCCAACAGCAGAAGGACCTGGAGCTGCTCGAGCGGGGCCAGAGGAGGCCACGGAGATGCTGGGGGGGCTGGAGCAGCTCCCCTGGGGGGCCGGGCTGAGAGAGTTGGGGGGGTTCAGCCTGGAGAAGAGAAGGCTCCGGGGGGACCCTGAGAGTGGCCTCCCAGGGCTTAAAGGGGGGACAGGAGAGGTGGGGAGGGACTCTGGGTCAGGGGTGTGGGGTGTAACGGTTTTAAACTGAAAGAGGATAGATTTACATTAGATATAAGAAATAAATTCTTTACTATGAGGGTGTTGAGGCGCTGGCCCAGGGTGCCCAGAGCAGCTGTGGGTGCCCCCTCCCTGGAAGGGTTCAAGGCCAGGTTGGACGGGGCTGGGAGCACCCTGGGCTGGGGGAAGGGGGCCCTGCCTGGGGCAGGGGAGTGGAACTAGATGGTTTTTAAGGTCCCTTCCAACCCAAACCATTCTATGATCCTGGGCTTTTGAAAAACATATTCCCTGCTGGCTCATACCTGAGAAAGCTCTGTTGCTGTCTTTTAATCTGAAAGGGTTACCTAAATTGTATCTCTTTTCTCTGTAAAATAACAATCATAGATGCAGCAGAGCTGTATTTTGCTTTTTATTCCCATTTCTAACAAGATTTTCAAGCAGCATGTCACATTAAGATCTGTGGCACTCGAGGAAGAATGGCCTCTATCTCTTCCTGACAGCAGGATGATACCAGTGGCTCCAGTGTGCCTTGCTCCAGCTGAGCTTCACCTCCACGCGGGCTTTGGTGGCTGGCAGGCTTCATGCTCCTTTGCACAGGGGTGGTTTTTCATATTTACCTGTGGCTGAACTCACTAAAGAGCCCTGCAAACTTCAGGCTTGCAAATGCCGAAATGCACCTTAGTGTGTTGCCTGCGGGGCGCGGCTGTGGGACTGGCACAGAGTCGGCAGCACCTGGGGTTTGTTCCTTGGTCTGGCACAGTTTTATGGCATGAGTTTGTGGTTGAGATTTGGTTACCTGAGCCAGTCTGGTTTCAGAGCTTCTCCCTCCTTCTGTCTTGTTGTCTCTGCTATTTCTCTTCCTAACAGAGATTGAGATGCCAGCAGCGGGTTACGGGCTGCTCCCTCATACGCAGCAGCCGCAGCGCTATGCTGGAGCCCCTCGTCAGTCCTCCCTGATGAGCACATTTTAAAACTAGTACAATACTTTTAAATAGGACTCTGGGTTCATGGCCCACACACTGTTTATAGTAATATCATGTTTGTCACTGTTTTCAAGTCACCTTTGTCCTCAAAGTGCTGAAGCTGCTCCAGGAGCCCCAAGAGTAACATCAGGAAGGAGGAGAGCAGCGTGCTTAGTCCAGTAGTGCAGGACATCTAGAAAGGGGTCACTGTGCTGCACGAGTTATTATTATTTTAAATGTTATTTAGACTGCAAAGAAAGAGAAAAAGTAATTTATTTTTCTTACCTTTTTGTGCCTGGGAGACTTTCTGTTCTGTCACCTGATCACCCCGTCCATGGGAGCCTGTTAACTCTCTCTTCACAGTCACCCATGCGCTTCCCTCCCCAGCCTGGCATGCAGGGGAAGCTGTGCTGCACCTCCTGATGCTTCCCTCCACTCACGGGGTTGTTCAGAGCAGCACTCGCAGGAAGCTGGCCTGCTGGCAAGGAGCCTTGCAGGATGCAGAGCTTAAGAAGTGGAAATAATTATCAACTTAACAAGCCCGGTGTCCAGAATTCACATTACGTTGCTTCAGACTTGGGTATCTGGACATGTGTTACAGTTTTGCAGGTTTTGTCAGAATGGTTGGAATGTTTCTGGTGCTTTTTCTTTTTTCTTTATTTTTTTTTTTTTCTAAACCAAATGTTCAGCTTCCCTCTACATGTAGGTTTTATTGTGTTCAAGGTAGCAGTATGCAAAGTCTTTGACTTTCCATGACTGTCCTGTATGTGCAGAGGCCTCTTCTGTTTCTGCTTTGGCTATCTATGTCCAATATATTTCCATGTAGAGGTGAAGGTGAAGTATGCATTTCTTCCATGTATGCCCGTAAAAGCATGTTAGGGTGCAAAGAGAAAGGAAAATTTAAATGTGTCTCTCCACTGGACCATTTGACTTTGAATATCTTCTTTGAAGAGCTACTCTCTTACCAAAAATCATTTGGCTGCGCGATGTAGGACTTATTGATGCGGGCGATACCAGAGCTGTGTATCTCAACTATAGAAAAATGAATGATCTTTTTATTTGTGAGTGGCTTCAAATTAAATCTAGAGCACCTGAATTTACAGATGAAGAAAATGGTATTGCACGGAAGCTGATCTCTCTCTCATAGAAGGCTTCTGAGATTTCGGGGAGAACGAATGGCTGGGGGGGGACACAATGCAAGAGAACTGTCTGGAGTGTGTGGCTGTGCTAGATGGGTTTTTTCAGACCATTCCTGGTCAGAGGATAGTGATAACAGAGGGTGTGAGGTAATGCTGTGGGCTAGGACTCAGTAATGGAAACACGGTGGGAATTGTCCTGGCTTGGATCAGGGTTCCTAACCATCCAGATGTGCTGACAGGGTAAAGTGAGAGCTGACCGCTACTTGTCACTGTTTGCAAAGCTCTGACGGGCAGCAGAAATATCTCCGGGCCTTCCCTCGGCACAGCTGTGGTGGGTGCAGAGGACGTGAGGTCCTGCTGGGAGGGGACATACTGACGGATCACGGGTGCTCTTCGCTCTCATCCTTTTCCTGGAGATCAGCGGAAAAAACCAAGGAGCTGGCTGAGGTCAGGTCCTGCTTTGTCAGAGCCGTGACAGCCAGTCTCCGCTGGCGTGGTGATGCGTGATGACAACACAGCAGACGAGCCTTGCTGGGATGATGAGCATATTCCCTGTTTCCGTGCCAAATACGCATCATCTCCTGGGGTGGTTAGTAAGCTGCTGGGGAGCGCGTCATTCAGAATTACTCGGTAATAAATCCTGACCTGGTGAGTCCCGGCCGGAGGCGGCGGTTGCCGGCAGCCCGGCGGCGATCCCCTCGCACTCTGACGGGCACAGCTGCTCCCTCAGCAGGGGCTGCTCCCGGTGTCTCGCTATTTTACTGCCCGGGTCATGGTATTTGGTATCGTTGTCTAGAGAAGCCTCAGGGCAGCAGAGAGGGCTCCCTAACCAGCTTCTGGCCTTTCTGGTGAGAAGCTGAAACATTTGGCTGAAATACGACCTGAGGACTCAGTAGCCGGATGGATGAAACTTGCATTGATGTGGCAAAGGGCAAGGGATTATCTGTTTTTTTTTTTGTTAAAGTGTTGGCATCACATCCATCCAGGTGCCGTGACCCACGGCCGTGCATCCCGGCCACAGACACTACGGCACCCTGGAAGCTCAACCTCACACACGGAATATCCCTGTCACTCTTTGGGGATCCCCCAGGTGTGTTCATGGAAGAGCCTGGTAGCTCTGCTGAGAGGAGTGAGGAGGGTCAGGTTTGCAAAGTGAGAAAAGGGGAGATGGTCAGATGTTAGGTGAATAAACTGATTACAGATTTGTGGAGCGTGGATTTTCTTCCGTCTGAGGTAGCCTTACTTGTGCTTACATCAAGAACACAACAACTTCTGTGGTTTGGGCTGTCTTCAGAGTGACTGATTTTTTTTTTTTTTTTTTAAATCAGTTTAGAATCTAATAGGTTTCACCTTCCAGTTGTCAGCATTTATCACTTTTTTTTTTTTTTTTTCTGAAATAAATAGCAATTTGGCAGCTGTAATGACAAATGTGAAACCCAAATGATTTGAGCCATGGGCTGGTGAGCTGAGAGGGACTGCTTTACATTGGTTTTAATACATTTTATATTTTATATATAAATAATTAGATGTTAGAATAAAAACTGTCTATTTAATCCATGCCATTGAAAACCCTGTGTGCTGTTAATAGGCTTAGTTATAGGTGACACCTCTTTGAAATATAATTCTTTTATGCATTTTAATAGAGTTCATGGTAAACATACTGTAATAAGCAGACAGCAACTAATATTTCCTGCAGGCAGAATGCACCTAATTAAAATTAATTGATAAAAAAAAAATATCATTACCACTAAAATTTCCAAACTATTTTTTCTTCTTGACAAAACACCCCTGGTGTGGTGTCGGGATGCAAAAAGCCACACGTCTGGTCTGGTCCTGACTCTGCATGTTCTTTGCTGCTGAGATCAGGACCAGCAGCCCAGCCAGGCTGCGCTGGGGATGTTGCTTGGGGTATCAAAATGAATATAATGAACATAAACTGCTTTGGGAGATTGGGGGTAACAAAGGGCATGTTCTCCAGGGGCCTTTGAGTAGGGGCTTGTTAAGAAGTTCAGTTGCAGGTTGCTAGAATAACTCTGTTTAGTGATTCAGCCCTATTCTAGCGTGGTAGCCTGGATGCTGGGGCTGAAGTTAGTCCCTTAGGGTCAAGATGGGGTTTACTGGCTGTGTCTGCTCTCCACAGGGCCTTCTGTTCTCTACCCCGGAATGTCTGAAGCAGCCCCAAGATCTACTGAAACTCTACCTGCATGAGTCTAACCGGGTGTACCGGGACAAGATGGTTGAAGAAAAGGATTATAGTACCTTTGATAAAATCCAGTTGGAGATGGTGAAGAAATTCTATGACGTAAGTGTTGAGGTTCATAACTCTGATAATAACGTACATGCCTACAGGAAAAAAGTTCCTTGGGAAAGGAAAGTTTGACCCAAGGTCTGCCCATCTCTCACTTGCCTGGAGGGCAGTGCTCTTGATGGGAGCCCAGGAGCAAAATCTCAGTCATCCATATTCCGGGCTGCCGATGTTGTGATGTGGGTAAATGCTGTACTCCACAAGGGCATTTGGAAGAGAAGATTTGGGCTCTGTGAATTGATTGAATTCCTTCATTGAAGTGCTTTGAGTCTCATGTGGCAAAAGCAGAAGGGTCAAATCCTGTCTTGATAGAGGCAAAGTGAAATGCAGGCACAAATCCCTAGTGCTTTCCCTTTTTCCAAAATACCTTTCAAATGAAAGCTCTAGATCTGCTTTCCTTCAGGCCTGGCATCACCTAGCAAATGTTTCTGTATGAATCACACAGGTATCACTGAAGTGGTGAGTAGTGCAGACAGCACTTTTTCTTCCAGGTGTTACCACTGTCCGTGCAACAGCCTAGTGCTATGGCTATTGCTGAGGGGCTTTTCTTGTGGCCACATCCTCTTATGGTAATAAGTTGAGTTTTTGTGATTTGCAAAAAGTTTTCAGAGCAAAAGAAGGTAGTATTGGGGCTTTTTCCTTTCACCCTCTTTGCCCCTTGTCCCTCTTCCTCCTTTTCCAACATGCAGGTGCAACTATATGGGCATAAAAAGGCATTTGCTGGAACACCATGCTTTACTTGGAAAGATGGCATAGAGCTGCAATGTTTTTTCCTATACTTGTTATATACATACTTTTCTTTTTTTTTTTTTTTTCTTTGGCAGGACATTGAGGAAACTTTAGAGCAGACCAAGCGAATGAATGTTTATTGCCATTTTGCTAAAGGCATCAGTGAACCCAGCTACAGGCCAGTTCCAACCTGGGAGGAGTTGAACCAGATCCTTGTGGAAGCCTTGAACAACTACAATGAAGTCAATGCTGCCATGAACCTGGTACTATTTGAGGATGCCATGTGCCATGTGTAAGGGGATTTTTTTGCTTTATGGTCTCATCATAGCATTCATCGCTGCAGATTGCTTCTGTGGAGTTTCCTGGAGGATGTAGATATCCCATAATTATAGCTGGTGGAGCTGGAGGTGCACAGAAGCTTCACCTGCCCGTGTGACATGTCCAGCACAAATGCTGCACTGCTTCTCTAGCTGGAGTTTGGAGGGCACTGTTGAAACCATGAGGATGCCTGGGCTGTCTGATGAGGGGACTGCGTGCTGGTGTTTATTTTAAAGTGTGGTTGCTGTTATGATATCTTTGGCCGTTGATGTTCTGCATAAGGCATGAACGTTTATTGTACACGACAATATTCAAGTGCTTTATTGTCTTCACTTGACAGCCAGCTACAGAACTAGTTATACTGGGATTTCCCTAAATGTTTTCATAACTAGTTCAGAGCCATGTTTACACAGGTTCTTAGTGGAATTTTCAAATGTATATCAAGCAAGATTATGTGCATTCAGCCTACTAGTTTAAAAGGGTTGAGGCATTTAAACTGCTTTGATCCTTTGAAAATCCAGCTTGCATTTAGATGCCTGGAGGTCCAGATGGATTCCCTTTGGAAATTGGACATGTGGGACTACACGAAAAAATCAAGCCTCCAGTTGATAATTATTAAGCTATTTACATGTCTGTGGTATAGATAGTGAGGCATACCTCCAGCTTGCAAATATGATTTAAACACTTATTGGGAATCCCAGCAGAAACAGACTGATTTCTAGATGCTGAGATGCAGATCTGGCCTTAGATCACTTCAGAAAATGGACCTGCCCTGTGAATCATAGTTTTAACTGATTTTGTATGAAAACATTTTATCAAGAGGTACAGGTTTGTGAGACCAAGCCAGAAGGAAGCTGCTGCCCTGCTGTACACTTGTGTGGGTAATTTCAGTTCTTGCTGAACCTGGTAACCTAATGCAGTTACTCTCATGCAAATTAAAAAAAAAAAAAAAAAAAAAAAACAACAAAAACCCCCCATACATAAAGTGCTACTCCTTTTAACTAGCTGTTTAACCATTTCTGTTCTGGGAGCTCAACAGTCTTTTAATTTTGCAGTGTAGTGTGCCAGCTATGCTGGCGCACGTTTTCCCTTATTACACGGGCATTTGCTCCTTTGTACTAATGAGTCATATGCAACCTGATGTTCATAGGTCTTTATGCTTGCTTTACTTGCAGAAAGGTGACAGTAATATTATCTTGTGCTCCTTTTGCACTTCACATAAATTGGGATTTGCAACGAAATCTGGCACTAACCCTCCAGTTAATATTGTAAATAAGCAGGAAAATGAGGTTTGATTATTCAGCATGATTTTCACTGGATCTGGGTGAATTTCATTCATTGCATTTAGGAATTACATTTTGCTGAAATACACACAACTTATTCCATCTCAAACAGCTTATGAATGTCAGCTTGAATTTGCTGAAAATTTTCAGTTGGGGAAAAAAAAAAAAAAAAAAAGAAAAAAGAAGGAAAAGTTACGGACTTCATTTATATAACAGGAGATACCTGTCAGTCACCTCCTAATCCAGATCCCTTTGTGCACACTGAGAAAGCACACAGCCCCAGGGAGCACAGCAAGGGCAGAGACCACGCTGTCCTCTTCACCGGGGGCTGGCCTAGGGAATTGAAAGCAGGAACACTAAAACTGGATTGCTTTTCTGGGTGTAACTTCACAATTGGTGCCAGTCTGCGCATAGATCATACCATACTTGAGTTGTAATAAAGAAGTACAGTATTTCCTGCAGTCTTCTTTGAAAAATTTATTAGATTAGTCTAGGGAAATACTGAGTCAATTGAGCTGAATAAAGGCATCGCTGTGAAGAGGGGAATGGTGCTTGCATTTCAGACACAGGACATTGAAGCTCTCACAGGTGGGATTCTCTAAACCCCTCTCACTTGGGGTTTTAATATGTAGAGACATCAGCAGTTGCTTAAAGAGAATAAATTGGAGTCAGAGTTCACAATGCAACTGTCAGACAGGACAAGTGAACAGACCTGGAAAGTGATAGCAAGTTCATTTTAAGAGTAAGAAGATCTCACTCTTGAGCAGTGGTGGTTTGGATAGATAAGAAACATGGACTGTGTTTTCCAGACAGGTTTTATGATGTTCTAGACATATATGAATTTGCTTTAATGCATAGCAGGACTCTTCGCCTGAACATGAACCCCAAATGCTTTGTGGAGAGAAACCTTTACTGGGGAGGTGCATCAGAGCCTTGAATTTTGTTCTCAGCATGTCCATGTAATGTGCTTTTTCCCTTGTTCTCCCTACAAAGATGTCCAAGCCTTCACCTGAAAATAGTTCTGTCCATCAGGACTTGGCAGGTGGAAAAAAAGTTGGACACAATCTGAATTACCACCAAACTATTTTTTTCACCAGCTATGTCCTTTGTATAGATCTCAGCAGAGATGGGGATTGATTGCTGACATGTCTTTTAGATTGACATTTTTCATCCCATTCAGAATACAATTTCTTAGTGAATAAAATATGTATTGAAAAGCACTGGGCAGAGAAAGAGAAAAATACTCTTATTAACGAGAGATTTTGTATGCTTTAATTTAGTTGCCGCATCAACCGTATCCTGGAGTCCCCCAGGGGAAATGCTCTCCTGGTCGGCGTGGGCGGAAGCGGCAAGCAGAGCCTGACCAGACTGGCAGCCTTCATTAGCTCTCTGGAGGTTTTCCAGATCACTTTGAGGAAAGGGTATGGAATCCCTGACCTGAAGGTAGGTGACTTTTAAGGCTGAGGTGGAGTGGAACAAAACAAAAAGCAGAACTTGCCCTGAAAACTTTGTCTAGTTGCACACCGAGTGACACTGTTGTGAAGATGCTAAAAAAGCTCCAGGCACGGTATGGAAGTGTGGAGAGGAGCAGTGGTTCTCCAAGCGCCTTGCTGAAGCGTGTCTGGGCAGGAGTGCAGACAGACCTACTGTCCTTGGCCAGTCCCCCCAGCTGGCCAGGCCGCAGAGCACTCCAGCCCAAAGCTTAGTGTCAGCCCTGGGCTGTGCTAGTGAACCCTAATTACTTCTAATTAAACCGTTATGTGGTAATTACCTTATCTGTGAGGTGCCTGTTATGGAGTGATTTGGAGGTGGAAAAGGAGCAAGACAGAGTAGGTGGAGAATTCCCAAGTTGTATCCAGTTCTTTCTCTGGTATTTTGTATGAGGGAGGGACTGAGTGGATGGTAGGTGGTTTGCTACAGACAACACGTCCCTGTGCTTGTTTATGTGCAAGCTAGGGAGCTTAGGATTTATAAATTAACATTTTAAAACATCACTGAAATGGTTTCACGGTATTGTAGCTGCTGGCAAAATGACTCTCATTAAAAATGTTGAAAAAATCAAGACCACAGTAACTTCACTGTTCTGCCTGGGAGACGTGGTGGCCGATGAACCCTGGGTTCCCTCCCTGTCAGTGGCACAACCTGATGACCCGTGGTTTTGTACAGGCTGTTTTCATCATGTCTCACGAGCCTGTCCCACCATCTGTTGGGTATTTTCAGCTCTCCTCTGTTTTTCAGCTCCACTTGTGGGATTTTCTAGCTCCTACCTGCCTATTTGTTGAGAAAGCCTGTGCTTCCATCTGGGAATTTAGCTCGATACCACAATTAATAAAGTTGTTTTCAAAGCCTGTCTTTGTTTCTCTGTCTGTGAAGATGGAAGTTAATTTGATATTCCCTTCATTTTGTATTAATTTTCAAAGAATTTATGAAATATGAAGTAATTCTTTTTCTCAGATAATAGAAGAGCAAGGTGGTGACAGATTACCCAGTCTGCCATTGGCCCTTCCTGCTGTTATAACTGGTCTAATCCAAATTTCCAGTGATGAAAGTAACAAATTATTTTTTTGGAAGAAGTGTGTGTTTGCTGAATTTCTAAGAGAGTTTCTGAAATGTCCAGTGCATTCCTTCAGGTCCCTTGCATGTCTCGTATCCTACCTGGA